GTCAGGCACAATCTGCCCTTGGTGCCCCATCTTTTTACTATAAAAACTTATTCACAGGAAACTCTGCCTTGTTTTCAAATAATTACTCTAGTCAAATCTCCTCACCAGGCAGGCACTTTCAAAAGCGTATCAACTCTTTACGTTCACTTGGATTAACTACGTGAATCATGTTTTAGAATAATTTCAACAGAATGTATGTTTATAATGCATACAAAAAGTCTCATAGCTGGTTTTTTAGTCTTCCTTAAAATTTATCCACACCCTCTGAAGTACTAACATGAAAAGAATTTAGATTTACTAACGTTTCACCTAGACCATGTTAGGAAGATTTAAGATTTGTGTTCTGGAAAGAACATAAAGACCTACTACCTGACCCTGGCTGGAGGCCAGGTGACCACCAAAGCTGCTCTGTCACTGCTCTCCTCAGCTGGACAGGGGGGAAGAAAATATGACAAACTTATGGATTGAGATAAGGACAGGGAGGGATCGCTCAGCAACTATCATCATGGGCAAAACAGACTCCATGAAGGAAAAACTAATGTAATTTATCACCAATCAAATCAGAGTATGACATCAAGCAACGAATCTCAACACACCTTCCCCCCACCCCTCCCTTCTTCCCTGGCTCAAATTCACCCCCACTTTTCTGTACCTCCCCTGCGAACTGGCACACAGGGACAGGAAATGGGGGTTGGGGTCAATCCATCACACGAGACTGCTGCTCCTTCCTCCTCGGGAGAGGAACAACTCCTCACACTCTGCCCCTGCTCCAGCATGAGGTCCTTCCCATGGGAGACAGCCCTCCTGCCAGGAGCGTGCTCCAGCACGGGCTGCCCACGGGGTCACAGCCTCCTTCGGGCATCCCCCTGCTCTGGTGTGAGGTCCTGCCCGGGCTGCAGGGTGGTCTCTGCTCCCCTGTGACCCTCCATGGCTGCAGGGCACAGCCAGCCTCACCGCGAGCTGCACCAGGGGCTGCCAGGGAATCTCTGCTCTGGTGCCTGGATCACCTCCTCCCCCTCCTTCTCCACTGACCTGGGGGTCTGCAGGGCTGTTTCTCCCACATATTCTCACTCCTCTCTCTGGCTGTTCCTCAGAGTTTTTTCTTCCTTAAGTACGTTACCCAAGTACGTTGTGGATTCTCCATACCACAAGTTTAAAGCTGAAAGGGAGGAGACCCTGAGAAGAGAGAAACATCCTCTAAAGAGAAGACCTCAACGACAGATGCGCTGCCGTGGCTATGCAAATCCAACCTAAAAGTAAAGAAAAGTCTCCTCCTTTCTCTAACACTGGGAATGTGTTTACGAAAACTGATACACAGTCGTTCAACTATCATAAGAAACGGTGCCTTTGAAATTAGACGCGAGAAGTGTGGATTTTAAACACTGTTTTAAGCATAGGGAATTTTAATGCTTTGATACAACTTCTGGGATAAAGACACAAAGCTTCTGCTATGACTGGATGGTCTTTTCCTGAGGTGTGCTCCTGAACAACACACGGTGTGGCACCCCAACTCTTCTAAGCCTATGCTGGAGGCACAGTTCTACAACTGGAGTACATTTCAGTATGGCATCTTAGCTAAAAATAACATTAGCTATTTATATTTAATGTTTGGATGAAAAAAATGTTTATTTAAGGTGCAGACTGTTTTCTCTGAGATGTCAACAGTAGGCAATATTATTTGAAGTGGAATGTTGTATTTAATATTTAATAGCATGTATAATGAAACTAGTGGAAAAATATTGAAATTTCAGAAAAGTATGAAATGCCCGTCACCATTCAGCTGTTACTTCAGGTTAATGATGGATTTTAACATAAGTATACCGAAGAACACATTATATGACTTAGCTGTACCAAGGAATTAACCAATATTCCGATATTTCAGCATAAAGTATATTCTAGACAGTAAGCTTAAATTTCAACTTGTTTGTGACAATATGACCCAAAAAAACTCCTGTGAAATAATACTTTACATCAGCATAAAAAGGATGACCAAGTTTGGAATGATCTAGTCAGTTCTCTTTCAGAAGTTAGTGTAGTAATCATTTAGCTCATCAGAAATTGCATTTTTGTTCTACCAGCCATGTTTCAGGTTCATCCCAAATGAAACCCTACTACCCATTTGATTATCCAAATACAGACTTTTTTCCCTGAAGAGATGAGTCACAGCTCAAAGAAGTTGAAACTTACACTATTTTTCTGATAATTTTTAACATATTAAGACAGCAAAACAATGGTCTTTTAAGATGTTCATATCTTAATTCATATCTACTTAGTAAAAACCAAATTATGCTACATGTTTTACTACCCAGTATAGCATCCAAACAGGAAACTAGTGCTACTGTGGGTCTTTTGTAAAATAATTCAGTAACTTACCCAAGTGACACCTCTTAATAAGTCATCACCAGCAAAGGAGATGAGGTCATAAGACCCGCAATACCCCTTTTTTATGGGTTAATTATAATTCCATCAACATATAAAAGTTGTACTGGATCTATGCACAGAAGTTAGGATCACAGGAAGAAATCCAAATGACGAAGTACAAATCTTCTGACTGTTTCCTTGCTGCTTACAGTGTCCAAGTGCAAACAGTGGTCTTTTAAATATCTTTTTTCCCCAGGACATGTTTATTTAGAATTCACAAACATTAAATAACTAGGGAATCACTCAGATGTAAATACGAACTTATTTTTTAAAAAGGTAGCAGCCCATTTGCAAGTTCCTGGATAGAAGGTTAGACACTGATATCAATTTATTTAAGAACAAGCTCTTGTCCCACAGGCATTCATGCAACAAATCAATTGAGAACTGGAGACTGACGTATCATGAACTCTTAGGTTCGTTTGAAGTTACCACAGACTAAACCCAGTCATCTGACTAAGCTGTGGGAAATCCAAGCCCATAAAAAATTTTTGTCTCAATCACCTACTGAATTTAGACTGTTTGGGTTGTGTGTCAGGGGTTTGTATTTAATGTAAAGGAAATACTGTAACTACACCAAACCTGTAATTTTCATAAATTTTGCTTTTCAAGTTCTTTTTAAAAGGATGCCTTCTTTGTATAACTTATCACCCACTTATCGCCATTTATTTTCCCTTTTGATGCTCTACACTACATCCCGATTAAAAAGAAGGACAAAGGTAAGAAATGTTTTCTAACAGCCTTAAGTTTATTTTTTCAGTTTGATACTGTCCGTCCAGTTAGCCTTCTGGAAAACAAAATATAATGAAGTTCTACAAATATATAATCAGATATTTTGTTTCAGAGTTTAATAGCAGCTCTCAACTTGGCCGACCTTCCTCTTGGGTTTGTCTGAATATCCTTGGCTTGGGGCGTGAGAACTTTTTTCTGTATAAAAATCCACCTTGAGTTGGATTTTCCATGGGGAAATTCTTCTGTATCTTCTTCTTTGGAGCCATTTTTCAGAGCCTGTCTTATCTTCTGCCTTGAGCCAAGATTGTACTTTTCTGTCATGTCTATTCCATGAAGAAAACGTTTGATGATACGATCTTCTAGTGAATGAAAGGAGAGGGCTACAAGGCGACCTCCAGGTTTTAGAAACTTCTCAGCTGTCTTCAGCCCTGTGAAGAGTTCATGGAGCTCATCATTTACAAATATTCGCAGGGCTTGAAAAGTTTTGGTAGCAACATGCGCAGGTCTCTGAAGCAAGTCTCTTCGTGCATACAGTGCTGACACTGGAAAAGCACCTGTCATATTAAAAAATACATGTTATTATGTCTACATTTCTATCTTGACATTAATAAACTCATGCGTGATGACTTTGAAGGAAAGCATACACCTGAACCTTGAATGGTGAGCTTCTTCCTTTGTAACATATCTTTGTTTTCTGCTTTGAATTTACATTTTCTGAAAGTAAACCCTATGAAACTGATGTGTCTGGCCATTGGGTGTTGTGGGTTCATTCTTTTTGGCTTTGGGTTAGTTGGTTTTGCCCCTGCAATCTTTCATAGAAATTCTTTCTTCAAATGCTTCACAAAATTAAAATGCAGAATGATGGCTGAAACCAAAGTAGGGAAAAAATGAAGATGGGCTACATACATCCTACACCTTACAGCTCATTGTAGTCAATATCAGTTTAGTAGTCGTGGTGGTTTGTATTTTTTTTTCTTCCTTTAAAAGCATAATATATGATGGACACACACTTTTAACTGTTTCTTCTAGATAATTATGCACTGCTTCACAGGCAGAGATAAGATGAAGACAGTGTCTACCTGATTAGTATCTTTCAATAAATTCTTTTAAGCTTTAAGTAGGCATCCTTGTTTGGGGATAAAAATTGTTGACCATTAGCCCTGTGTTTGTTCAAATGTTCACCAAAATACCTGCAGAAATTTAGATAATGCAGCTGACTCTTGCTTTTTCACATGCCTACACAGCAGAATGTGTCAAGATATGAGCCTGTTGAATGAAAAACTGTCAAATTAAATAATTTTGACTAGATGCACAGAACTCCATCTTCCTTTCTCCAAAACTCTTATGAGTTCTACAAGTCTCCATAGACACTGAAATTTTTATAGAAACTTTAATTTATCATTATTTAATGTATTTTTGGTTTGAATCTTCATTATCTGAATATAGAGCAAAAAGCTAGCGAAGCCAGATTTGATGGATCAAAGGGACTAAAGTGCAGCAGTCTTACAAGATCTGTGAAACCTGAGTGAACTTATAATCTATTATGTAAGCGAATGAATAATGCCAGCACACAACTGGAAAGAATTATTTTTCCAAACAAGAGAGTCCTTTAGAGATAATACAAACAACTGGTATGTTTTCAGTAAAATGCCATAATTCCATGCCAGTGCTACAATACAACATTATAAAGCAATGGGTTTGAAGTACATGAAGTTCATAATCAAGTAATTCATATGCTCTGTAGAGGAGAAAAATAAGGGAACACAGTACCTCTGAAACTAGTTGACTAAATCCACGTTTCAACAGGTGATTAAAGAAAACTTAAGAGATATCATACATTGCCACAAAATAATTTATTAGTGGAATTCTTGAGAGTTTTAAAGGTAAACTTTAGTTGTGTCAGGAAACGTACTTAAGTGTTCAGCATCACAAACACAGGTTATCAGAATTGAGGAAAGGAAGAGACCAATAACAGGATTTAAAAATTCATCCATTATTAACAAAGTTATTGTCGTGTATCTGATGTATCTAAGAGGCGTTTCTGCATACTCCATTTTTCCAACTACATTCCTTACCTCTTCGGACTCTAACGCTAACAGTGCCTGAATTAACTGAAGAAACCGCCCACAGCCATGGCTCTTTCCTGTTCCGGTTGTCTGAATCCTTCGAGATAGGAAGCAGCAACAAAATCAACTTGTCTCCATCTACTGCACAGGATCTGTCGCTTTAAGCTCTGGTTCACAAGACAGTGAATAGTTTTAACGTGTGGGAGCTAGGCTCCTCCATCACTTACAAACTCTAGAACAAGTTATACTAGCTAGCTAACATAATTTGTGTCTTTGAGAACACCACATTCTATACTTTCTATAAATCACAAAAAAGAATATACACCTTCTCTGTAGGAGTCACAGAGCCTGTTTTGATGAAAGAGCTGAACTAAAAGGAGAACTCGGAATCACAGAAGGTAAGATGTCCCAAGAAACCAACTGACATCAAGCTTCTACTACCTGGAACAGCATCTAACTCAATATTCCTTAGCTAAACATAGACTCTTTGAAAACAGAATCCTCAGAACTTCCATTTGTGTGTGAAGAAAACTGTCTCAATACATAATATAAAGGAATGCTGTGCTGAGCAAAATCAACTATTTTCTTTAAATGGTCACTTAACAGCTACAAACACTAGTTGCATGCTCAGAACTCTTGAATAGTTGTTAAATGAAACAGCAGGGTTTCAAATCAGCACGCAGTGTATCCAGAAATACCAGAGGTCATGCATGTTCCCACAGCACGCACTAAGAGACCAGGTTCATAGCCACATATTCTCTGTAAGACCTGTCTCAAGTTTCCGTCATAACAGCACTTTTCTTCAATAGAATCTGAAGTTGACACATCAGGTAGATACCTGGGTACCTTTTGAATTCAATTACAGAAGTCTCAATTACAGGTTTCTTGAATAAGAAAACACTGTTTTTGTTAAAGGTCTCACAGAACAAATCTAACCCTTTTTCTCAGTCCACACTTAGAATCACTGAAAACATACTACACTCCTCCCTTCCCCCTTACAAAACCAAGCCCACTGTTCATTTTACTGAAAGTAATTGTAACTGGAATGAAAAACCACTATCCCCTTTCTAGCTACTAACAAGGTAGAAAACACGGTGCATTTTTCCGGTTCAAGCCGTATTGTTCTATTATAGGCTTTCTGCAGTACCACCTTTCTCCTGCCATTTGCTGAAAAATTTACAGCTGTGGCTTGAAGAGCTTCAGTTTTATACATTCAGCTTTGGGCTGTTCTTATCCAGAGCTGGTGTTCACCTCACAAAGCAGATCCAGCATTTTTAATTATCACATTTTAGCAGCTTAAGTGCTGCAGCCTTAAGTATTTTAGCAGCCTAAGTATCTTCTAAAAATACTGCTGGTTTTCTTGGGATGATCCATTTCAATATTCTAAGAGTATACCAGCTTCCAAAAGTATCACAGATAAAAATGAAGCCAACCCACAAAAGTACAGCATGTAATTTAGGTAGAAAACTGTGTTTCTTGATTGGGACCTAACCATAAAAACAAGTCTAGAACGAGATCCTTGATTTAAATTTCCACAGCCAATCTTACTGCAACTTCAGTATAATACTCGAAGCTTTATCATAGAATCACAGAATGGTTTGGGTTGGAAGGGACCTTAAACATCATCTAGTGACAACCCCAACTCTCTCAGCCTGTCCCTATAGCAGAGCTATTCCAGCCCCCTGAGCATCTTCGTGGCCTCCTCTGGACTCACTCCAACCGGCCTATATCCCCTCCCTCGCCCTTCTGGCCACTTCTCTGGATACAGCCCAGGATACAGTTGGCCTTGTGGGCTGCCAGCGCACATGGCCAGCTCCTGTTCAGCTTTTCATCCACCAGTACCCCCAAGTCCTTCTCCTCAGGGTATTTCCCTATCCATTCTCAGCCCAGCCTGTACTTGTGCTTGTCTTCTATATCACCAAAATATCTTTTAGTTATCTGAACAAAAAAGGATAATAATATAAAGATTACTTCAAAACTTCTTTTGTAAAAATCTAAATAGACATGACATGCTGATATCACGCCAAATTTTTAGTAGTCTCATCATGAACTGTTCTGCTATTTTGAAATTGCAATACCAAATAGATAGACAAAAGAAAGGAGATACTAAAGCTACCAGCATAACTCAGACACTAACAGGTCTTAGGAAGGTTCTTCCATTTGTCCTGCCATGGTTGTTGAGTGCTCTTCCTACAATAATCATGTATGACGATAACTATGGCATTAATTTATTACTGTGAATTAATTTATCGCACACTGAAGAAAAATAAATTAAACCCCAGACACATTCTTTGAGTCAAATACAACCTTACATGCCTCAGTTCAACATGCACAAACAGCACTGCAGGTCACATTTCATTTACTGGATGTAAGGCTGGACATGAGCCGGCCGTGT